GAAGGCCGTCTGGGTTGGAGGAGACTTTGGTCCTAAGTGCCTCGGTCCTAACGGATATGCACACCAACAAAACAGCTGGCAGTGCAAAGCATCCGCACGGTCACACAGCATCCGTACAATTACACCCAGAGCATCCGCGACATAATATCTCAAAAAATAAAAAAAGTCTTCACAAAATCTTAAAACCCCTAACAACACAGGTTCAGAAACAGTCCGTATTTTTTCCACTTTGGGAATCTTTGAGACAGCTTGGTTAAGTAGTATTCCCTGTTCTCCAAACACCTTCCCTCCCACCAGAGCAGAAGGGGCTATTTTACAATTTTTCAAGCCTGACCTGACCCCAGAGCCAGACTCTCTACTCAGACCCTCAGAGGCCAAGCTCCTTCCTCTGCATGACAAAGGGCGGCTGCCCTCCCTCCTGACGACTAATCAGCACATTGTAAAAAGTCTCCTAATCCACATTCGAGCTCTTCTTTTGGCCACTAGCTAATTGCCCAATTATTTTATTTTCCCAGCAATACTCTTCAGGCTGCTGGGAATCCACATTTAGGACCCAGGCCTGTGTCTTGGGCTTAAGAGTCTGAAGGATTTGGCCTTTGTCTGTTTGTCTGCTTCTCACGCCTCCCTGCCCCCCTCCCAGACCCGACCCTGGGTTGACTGAGTCCCCAGCTTGCCCAGGGCTGACAGATGACCCCACTGGCTTCAGGGGGTCAGGGCAGGACTGGGCACTGGAAATAGTTTGAGGGCATTGAAAGAACTTTGGTCTGGGAATGGGAAGACCTGACTTTGTGGGGATATTGATTACAGATCATCGACTGTGTGTGCTTGGGGAAGTTGTCATCTCTCTGAGCCTCAGTTTTCTTTTTTTGAAAACCTGGGGTCAGGAGAATGGCCTGGATAGTCAGTTTCAGCGCTAAGCTCTCTTTGATTCTACAAACTAGCAGGTGAAAGAAAGGGGGTAAGTCGTCTTGGTGGACAAACTCCTCCATTGGTGCTAAATGTTCCCAGGCTCCTCCACCTAAGAGAGGTCCCGTAACATCAGGTGGGGATCTCAGTTTCCCAATCATGGGTCACTTGCCTAGGCTTCCAGTGGTCCCCAGAGCCACCCTGAGCACCGCATCCCAGACACCCATCCCTGCAGGCAGGATCGGTCCTTAGAGAGGCTGGATATTGACTGTGTCGTTTCACTTCCTGTTGAGGGCTCTGCTCTAGCTTTGGTCCTGTGCTGAGAGGCTGATCCAGAAATACCAGTAAGACATCTGGGGGAGGCAGGGAATCAAGAAGTGGGTGTGTGTGGGGGGTCCCTCCACTTTACTGTCTTCTCTGGAAATGTTTCAATTTGTCTGCTCTGTTACCCCAGGTGTAGAAGGAACTCCTGACTCCCCAGGGACTTCCAGAGGTTCTCAGCCCTGTGGTGTTTCCTAGCTGGGAGAGGGTCCTGAGTGGGCCTCCACAGGTCAGGGAAGCAGCAGCACCAGAGGCCTGGCCTCCCTCAGCCCTGGAGCAGCAGGTCCCTGCTGAACACAGGGGCCTGCGAGGTCTCATTGTGAGCATCCAGCCTCAGGGAGCTCCCAGTGGGTCTAGATGTTGGGGATTTGGGGAGGGGGTAGTGGCATGCAAGGACAGCCTGGGTGTTATATCCTTGGCGCCAGTGATAAGCCACAGGGCTCCTGTCGCCCAGCAGCCAGGGTAGTGGACTATTGCATATTTACCAGCCCAGAACAGCTTCCAGGGACTGAGGCCCACAAGTCCTGGTTTGCCTGTAAATGTGACACTTCTGCACCTTTTGGCCTGACTTAAGACCCAAATGTTTGCATCAAATAAGTCCTTTCCCTGTTAATCACTTGTAAAGAAAAGCAATCACTTTTCTTTTGAAGAAAGCTACCCTTGTCACAAAGAGCAGAAGGTCCTGTTTGGACCGGACACAGTGGTGGGACCTTATATTTCATGAGATGTTCAAATTACGGGAGATGAGTTCCAAGATGGTATTTGAATTCCTCCTTGTGAATTACACAAATTCCATGGAAATACAGATGGGAGAGAAAAGGAATGAGGAACAGAGAAGCAGCTGAGGTCATGATTCTATGACCACAAGGGTCTCCTTTCCCCACCCTGGGGTCAGCTGTTAGGATTTATGTATTTCCTCTGTGGACACATGTGACCAAATCCCTGTTCCTTACCTTCAGATACCTTGAGCTCTAGCACCTATTAGCCGTATGACCTTAGGCTAGTCGGGCAACAGTTTTGTTTGTTTGTTTGTTTGTTTGTTTGAGATGGAGTCCTGCTCTGTCACCCAGGTTGGAGTGCAGTGGCACAATCTCAGCTCACTGCCACCTCTGTCTCCCGGGTTCAAGCGATTCTCCTGACTCAGCCTCCCGAGTACCTGGGACTACAGGCACGTGACACCACAGCCATCTAATTTTTGTATTTTTAGTAAAGACGGGGTTTCACCATCTTGGCCATCCTGGTCTCAAACTCCTAACTTTGTCATACACCCATCTCGGCCTCCCAAAGTGCTAGAATTACAGGTGTGAGCCACTGTGCCGGCCTGGGCAACAGGTTTATGCTCAGTTTCTTCATCTATAAAATGGAAATAATAATGGCAACTTCCTCCTCAAGTTATGGTGACCAGCTACTCGGGAGGCTAAGGCAGGAGAATCACCTGAACCTGGGAGGTGGAGGTTGCTGTGAGCCGAGATTGCGCCATTGCACTCCAGCCTGGGCAACAGAGCTAGACTCTGTCTAAAAAAAAAAAAAAAATTGCACTATTAGCCATTACGGTTATTATTTATGTTTATCTGTAGAGATGGGGTCTTG